CTATTATTCAAAATGGGTGACCCTGGAGGACATTATGCTGTGTGAAGTATCTCAGTCACAAAAGGACAAATACTGCATGGTGCCACTGTTGTAAAACAGGACTGACATTGGGGTTGGGGGGAGACTGAGAAAGATGGGTTCAGTAATGTATACTGCACTGAAACAGATGAGGGAGAAAACTGTTTAAAAGGGCTATGTGATTAGGTATTTTTGTAATGACAGGAGTCTAGAGTGAAGGTTACTTGGTGGAGTGGACCTGGGGAGAAGGATTGTAAAAGAATGAAAGAATTTTTCTTTTCCTTTTCGAAGAGGGTAGTGTACTAGAGGGGAGGGTTGGGAGGGGAGAAAAGTGCAGCAATGAATGAATGGAAATCCAAAATCTCTGTAAATTTTTACTGAAATTAATAATAAATTTAAATAAAACAATAAAAAACACTGATAGCTCAATAACAAAATGGGCAAAAGAGCATGAAAAGTCTTTTCACAAAGGAAGACATTTTGAGTGGCCAATACACACTTGAAGAGATGCTCAAAACCACTGACAATAAGAGATCCAAATCAAAGCCACAAAGATATACAAGTAGAAGTGGCAAAGTTTAGTAGGGAAGAAACAATAAAATTTGGAGAGGATGTTGAGAGATTGGCATTCTCATGCACTGCTAGTGGGTTTGTAAAATGATACAACTACCCTGGAAGACAGTTTGGTGTTTTCTCAAAAAGCTGAACATAGAACAAATACTGTATAAGACCATTATTGTAAAAATAGAAGGATAACCAGTGAGATATGGCTATACAAAGAGAGAAGGGGAGGTGAAAGGGGAAAATCATGAGGTTGAAGAGTTTGATGGGTGGAGGAAGGGAATGAAAAAACAACCAGTGTACATGAGTGAGATACCATTTTTCCCATTTTGTTAATTAATTTTAATGAAAGTTTACAGAGACTTAGGGTTTCCATTCATTCTTTGTTGCACTTTTCTCCCCGTCCACCTCCTCTCCCACAATTTACTCTTCTTGAAAAGTAAAAGAAAAGCTCTTTCATTGTTATGCAATCTCTCCCCCCAAGTCCACTCCACTATGCAGACTTCATTCTGGACTCC